TTCCCACCGTGGCAATTGAGTTAACTGAAAACCAATGTCAGAGTGTGTGGGTGGCTTCATAATCTAATGCAAAGGACATGAACATCATTAGGCCCCCCACCCAACCCCCCTCCCCCGAAAATCCCCCCGTGTCCCTATCTCCCATCTTCCAATGCGGTTGTGTTCGTGCGCCTTCAACAAAATAGCCAAAAGCGCAGGGGTTACTAATGACACCGGCAGCACAAAGTATGCATGTCGTCCACACGTACGTTATTATCCCCCAAAGGACTGTACGAAACATCAGCTTCACTACACGCGCGGCTTTAAGCCCATTGGCAAAATCATAACAGCAGCCGGTGACACAAAACAACCAACACCAGCGCAGGAAATCACCAATATTCAAGATCATTAACAATATATTCAACAATATTCTACTTCTCAAAGAATGTAAACGATCACACACACAGGAGGATAAGGACAAGTTGAGCAACATAAAAAGTGACATTTTGATCACAAACTGCCTATCAAGAATATCATTAAAGGTATTTTCAATACACAACTGATTTAAGTGGCTCAAAGAATAACATAGCATTTTTGAACAATACTTGCAAGAATGTATCAAAGGAAATCCGGAAATTGGAGAACAGGACGGGTGAATATGAAGTACAGACTTCAACATTCAATGCAAATTTTAAATACACAATTGTAAATATTGGAAGTGACAATGTTTTGACATTGAAGAATGTAAAAACACACACATTGTTCAATCAATTCATCTTGACAAAGTCAGAACAACTTATATATATATATTTGCTTCTTGCTCTACTTGTCATTTTGCACAAGGTAGTAGCATTGATGACACTATCACAATTTTTGATTATAACCGTTTTATCGTAAAGACCTATCCCGAGTGGATTTGGACAGCAATAACCAGATGTAGGGACTTAAACAAAGCAACAAGAATCAAATACAACCTTGATGTCAATGATAATCTTAGTGGTCAATGCGTAATGAACTATTTTAGTAGGAAAATTGAAAACTACAGGTTGCAGGACAGGAAAACAAAAGGAAAATACCCAAAAAAGGATATGTTGATACTCCATGGTTTTTGGATAACATTAAAAACAACAGTGTAACTACTGTGGTTGTGGATTTCATATAGATATGAAAAAGGACAATACTATGTCAAATCTTACAGCCCAAAGAAAGGATAATGAACTAACCCACACTTTGGAAAACATCATACCTTATTGCAAGAGATACAACAGTAGTGATAAATAGCTGAAACCATAACTCAAACCTTGCCCCCTAAAATACTGAAGAGATATTTTTGTTGTAAAAAACATGTTTCACAGATGTGGGTTGAATGAGGGTAACCTTGCCCAGTTTTTTCCAATGAATGCATCCATGGCCAAGGTGTTGTTTTTTTTTGGGGGCTAGCATGTATATATAATATATACATGTATAATAACTAAATTATGTTATTTTTCCGTACGTACACGGATTGTTCACCTTACAGAGTAGATCCGACACTGACAGGGCGGGCGACATGGTTTCATGCCTCGTGCGGCGCGATAGCGTGCTACTGGCGCGACGCATGACAGCATCCGAGCGGCTTAATGCTTGAGAAGGCGGTGTGAGTTGGGTGGGCGGCTTGTGAGGTTGGATGGATCAAACCTGATTGAATCTCCCTCCGTATTTGCCTCGCTGAATGTGCAAATGAATTGAAACAATAGGAAAATAGTAGCAACAGCAATAAAGTAATCATAAGAAGGACTTGTAGGATGTACATCTTCATCTTCGCCCTGAGGTTTCCTTGGAGATGATCTGACTCACTACCCCACGGTTTTTGGGCCTTGCCGGCTGCTAGTCAGTGCTGATCTTTCCCTTTCAGTTCAGCCTTTTGCAGCCACCGTGGTGGTGGAACTTTCAAAAGCCAGCCCAATAGTTTTTTTTAGATTTCAAGTTTGCAGATCGCCAAGCTCTTGACCTCTTGAGAGGCCCAGCTGTTGGCAGTAACAGGAATAGGATATTTTTCTTCCACGTTACTCATCTTGCGCTCGTGGATCATCCGGTTGGATCATCTATAGTCAAAGCACAACGATCTATATTGCCAGTGGAACCAAAAAGGTCCTGTTTTTGGAATCCAGCATGCCAAGTGCTTTCATCATCGAAACACCTCTTCCATTTATGACTGATTCCTACACTCCCTTTAGTCCCCTTGCAAGAAGGATCAATTGTATATAGGAGGCTTCTCCCTTGTCTCATCGAGCGGCCTGTGTGGCCGCCCTTATCTGTGCGGCGATGTCTGAACGGCTCAAGATGCTAGACGCCTTTGCAGCTCGGCGGCTTTTGTGTACGGGCAACACGGACTCCACAATGGTGAAAGGTGATATCAACATCACTTACCGGTCGGAAACAGTGGTTGACCTCTTTTATAAGAGACCTTTTCAGAAGAGCCTTTGGGAAGAGATGGAAGGCAAAACAGAAATAAGGATTTCCAGGTGGGGTATTGAAGGACATGATATGCCATTGTATAATATTATATATAGGTATTGGACCTCTACTGCAATTGGTCGTTTCGTGTGATGAAACCCACTTCCAACCCCACTTCAGGTCAGACCCGGTTGCCAGCCTAAAGAGATTCGACTCGTTGAAAAACGGTCAACATCTCCGGACCGTCTTTTGAACCATCGGGGCCGTTGGAACCATCGCCCGATGTCCGATATCGGAAGGGACACTGGTCATTTGCAGGTGGGATAGGTGAAGCGCTGGGGAGTCGGGGAGGCGGAGGGGCGGGCGAGCTACTGAGTAGACGACCATAACCTGGAAGGCTGGACGGTCTGGTTGGACCCAGGTTGAACGACGTCATGGCACCTCCAACCAGACCATGGTTTTGGTTGACATCCCGAACATAGAGGAATCGGTTCATTCTCAGCGGGTCAACTGGGGTTTTGACCCATAGCCATGTCATGTGTGGCATGTGTGTCAATTGTGAATTCATGCTGACAAAATCAAGGTGGGTGAGGGTGTGCTGCCCAAGCAAGAGCCCTGGCCAGTCTTCAAGAAGGACAGCCGCGGGTGGTGGTTGGGATTCTCGGTTGGTTGCAGAGATATAGTGTTCTGCCAGTGGGTAGGGGCAGGTAGATGGTGATATACATTGTCTATCTATATATAAATATGTATAGATATGTGTGTAGAAGAGACACGATCTTCAAGGAACATGTCAGAAGCATTACTTTTACTGTACAATATTTGCTCATTGCACGTACCAGCCTCCTCAAGAGAAGGATTTGAAACTGTTCTTAGTCCCAAAGCCAGCAGAGGAGCGCATGTGTCTTTTTTGAAGGTTTAGCTTAAAGTCAGAGGCACGTATAGTTGTACCGGAATTTCGGAATTTCATGGAATTTCTAGTACGGGAATAAAGCAATACTGATATGGTCAGATGTACTAAACACCTCAAAATGTACGCAGAGTCTGGGATACTTGAAGTTGAGAACACCTGGACCTCCAGGCAACGGCCAACGGCACAGAGGTTGTTGGCTGTTTGCATGATACCAAGCACCGAACTCAGGATAATCTGCCGGTGCTTAAGAACCCATCATCGTTTCACTTAAGAACCCAAGATCTGTAGGACCCTTAGGACCAAAGATTTGGAAAGCTCCTGTGGGGAACAGTGGGAACAAAGGATGTGCATTCACCCAATGTGGAACTCGATGTTTTCATGCAACGATTTGAAGCAAAACAGGTCAACCTCAACCTTTCGCGAGACACGGGTCCACAGGTCCACAGGTCCAACGCACGACATGGACCGATGACCTTCCCAAGCGGCGGTTCGTTGAAGTGACGTTTAACAAGGTTGCTTTGCAGATGATGGCAGATGTCTATGATTTAGCTCTCAGGAGTCTGGGATCTTGTGGGTCTGCCCTTGGCCTGCCCTGGCTGTTCATCATCGAAGCAGACAGTATACATCAGTATACGATCTTTTTTCAATCATCTCGTTGATGGAAGTTGAAGAGCAATCACGTTGCCCCCATCCAAGTATATCATCTGTATCGGTATACTCCCGTCATGCTGCTCTGCATTTTGCAGCCAGTTTAGGGCCAGGGCAGCGTAGAAAGGACCCCAAAAGAACGGTGTTTTTCCCATCTCTAACTACGCTCGTGACCAGTCTCCTCCTGACCGAAGGAACTCTCTGGTGACTTCCGACCCCCGAAGAAGGTCGGTGCTGTTCTTTCCCACGACCGATGGGACTGACATATATGATCAGTTGGGATGGTTTTGGGGGTTGTTTTGTATGGCATATGGCAGTCCCATCGGTCGTGTCTGCGGTTCTTTAATTTTCATGCTTCTCGTGCTTGGCCAGGAGCAAAGCGCCGTTCCCATCCCCATCACCGACTATGCCCTGGCGGGCATCTCTTGTGCTGCGGTTCAGTCCCGCCTTATTGGAGGCTCGGGTCAGGTCTGGTCCGGGAGAACCGTTGGTGTAGGGTCCAACTGTTTGGAGCATCCATATTGTATCCATATATAATTATATAAGTACATACTGTTGTTATATGCAAATGTACCTACCAGGTAACAACAAAACTCTTATCCAAGTGTCAACATCCACTTGCCAGATAATCACCATGCATACCCTTCTTTCACTTTCAGTACTTGGACGTGGACTTTCTGGTCACCTCGTTTCGGCAGCCGGCAAAGTGTCCAGGTCCTGGTCCTGATGCTCCCGAAGAGCCCAAAGTTCGTTTGGCACGCGTGGGCTATGTGACGCAGAATACGCAGAGAAGGCAGGGCTGGGAACGGAGCAATCACCATTCATGCATGTTCATCCTGTTTTGTAGACTGTTTCATAGACTTGCGCCGTGTCAACGTTGCAGGCATCCACTGTTGTTGCTCTTAGACTCTTTCGTTATGTGCTGTCATTGGTTGTTCAGTATTTGTTGAAATGCCTGAGACATGCAGACAAACAATACGTTCTTCTGTCCTCCATGCAACCAACCTGTGGGGCAAGCCGAATTGTCAAGTGGGTGTTTGGTTGAGCCAGCAGAGAGAAGTTGTTCTCGGTGTGGTAGAATCAACAAGTCCTGCAGATGTTCTCTTTGATCCTCTGCTGCATGGCTCAGTGTTGAGCCTTTCGCCGGCTGCGACTGATCACCCAGCGACTGAGACAAAAAGAAGGACGACAACAAGACCAACAACGGAGAACAAGGTCATGTTCAAACCTCGTAGCTAGTTTCAGCCTGGCATCCGAGAAAAAACAAGCAGAGTCGCAACAGCTTTGACATCGTGTGGGGAAGTGCCTGTGCAGTGTACGCTGCAAATGTATTGCAATTGTAAACATATTGTAAACAAGTAGTAATGCTATGTCCTGCCGTTTGTTGTTCTCCCATGTTTCAATCTAGAGTTGCTCCATCCACGCTTTAAAGATGGTTCCGAGTAGCGAGCGCAGCAGCAGAAGCTAACCTCAAAGAATCAGTTCTTGTTATGTTGGCAGGGCCGTTATTCAATGTAATTATAATCAATAATCTTATGTTGTATTGTTTCTTTTGCTTTAAATTATCAATGTAATTCAATGTATTCTTCTGTTATTATAATCAATCAGGATCAGCCGGATCAGCCTTTAGATGTTTTTCCTAAAGAACGAGGGGGTTCTCTTTCCTTCCGTGATCGCAACGGAAGACCTGGCAGGTCTGCATGGCATGCTGATGGGCCAAACCCTTTGCTGCGACCTGACAGTTCAAGCAGGTCCGAGTCTAAGGGCCTGGACGTCTCACAGCCGCCCTGGACGTCTCACAGCTCTCAAGGTTGAAACAGCCTATCCAGGGCCGCAGGGCCCATCCAGGACCTAGTCCAGACAAGTACTTGCAGCAACGATGTTCCAGACATGCAGGTTTGGGGGGTATCCATCCTTTGCATTTGCATGGTTACACCGCCTTACGGAAGTCTGGCTTCCTTCCAGAACTCGACTTTTTTCTACTGTTTTGATGACATTAGGAGGTGAAGATCACAGATCCACAGACATTTCTACTAAGTTCGGTCTGTTGTTGGTCCGTAGGAATCTAGATCAGGCATGCTTGCTACTAAGAATCCTTGCCCTACTAGCCCATGACAACTGCTTTTGGTGTTTATCTTCGGATAGGCTGGCATCCGAACGTCGGGACGGAGAGATCCGTGCCCAACTACGGAGGCAGGCATTTGGAGGTCATCCGGGCATGTTCGGTTGAGATCGCCCTGGATTGATGCATATTGACGCGCCACTTCCGGGAGAAGCGACAGCTTCCTAGAGCTGCGGTGTCGCATGTTGAAGAAAAAGGAGTCGCAGAGTGCTCAGCTGCGTCGTTCCGGTGGTTCACGAGGCTAGAGACAACTTCAAACGACCTTTTTCCTTTCGGTGGAAAGACATGGCCGAGGAAAACGGTGTCGACGGTTTTCGGGTATAGTTGATTCAACTTCGATCATTTAATTGCCAATATTATGTGTTGCATGGCTGAAGGTAGATGTTCATTCTGTTTCACGGTGGGCTGGATGTCGGGTGGCCGCAAGACGGCTAATATACTGGATCCCGACCGACAGCACCATGTTGCTAAAATGGAAGCGTGACCATCAGCCCTCGCATTTCATCATGACAGATACACACTATATATACTCATGGCCCTCATGGCGGAAGTTAGGATGCCAGTGATTCACTGGGACTACAGGAATTCAATACCTGGTTGTCCCCTTGACACCAGCTGCAAAGGGATTGGCAACTCTCTTTTTTGACGTCCATCATGGTGGTGGAGCTTGCCAAGAATTCATTGTGAGTGCAACATGCCACAATATCCTTGCCGAAGATTCCATTAAGAAGGATGACGAGACACATACATGTTGGAGATCTTTAGTGCCAGGAGCATCCAAAACTATACATTTGTGAAACTTCCATCAAATCCGCAACACCAGACGTTAGGAAGGAAGGAGCTCGTTTCGTTCCGAACACATCGGCGTCTCGCGAGACCGATGCTCCGCCCCTACGCAGGTCACCGACCGATACCTCGAGAGGGTCGAGAAGATGAGAGGCCTGGAGAGGGCGGGGCGTCGGGCGTCAGCGATGTTTTGAGCACCTAGGGTGTCGCTTGCGTCCGTTTGTTTGCGCGTCAGCTACATTTCCAGGGTGAAGAGCATGGTTCAACCACCTGTTTGTTTTATAGTAATGGCCTAGTAGGGCCTAGCACTTAGAATATTGAGTCATTCATTCTTAATTCCAAATGATTCACTGGAAAGTCCCGGGAGCATTTATTCATATTTATTCTAACCGTGCTGCAGAAAGAATTACCGTTAGCAGATAGAATAGCTTCGGATATGTACACGGGAGCATGGGAACAGCAAGGAAAAGAGTGTGTGACCTTGTGATTTTGACTTGAACTGCTCAGCATAATATAGAATATGGTGGCATATATTTATTCGAACTACTGTAACTGCTTTGGCTTCTCACCCCGTGACCTCAAAATAAGGGTATTCTAATTGCATACTCATTAAAAACGAATATTCTATGTGCTGAGCCGTTACTATACCATTGGTTTTGCGTATTTTTATGGCACGGTGAGTCGGAAGTCAAATTGAGTCTTCCAGGTTTGCAACTTGCATGCAACATCCAAAAGGGGAATTGGACTGCCTCCGGATTATGGCAGAGTGCTTGGTGTTCAGCGGTGATTTGGTCAGTCTCAGTGGAAGAGCAGATCTTTGTGAGTCCAACTTTGGATGGAAAAACACAGATACCCCAAACAAAAAACAAATAACATAAACGGATGATTTGATGATGATTTGATGCATGTTTTGGTGGCTGGTTTTGCCAGAATGCATGAACACCCCGAGGCATTTTTTGGGGTTCGGTTTCCGCGACTGGATTTGGTCCGTGTTTGGGCGAACCCTTTTCGGCTCAGACAGAGAGGCCGATGGCACAGATCATTTGTCAGGATCAGGTTTGCTGCAGGAGATTAGAGTTCAAAGCAGAGAACAAACTCATCATATCTCATCATGTTGTTCAAGACTTGCTTTCTGTGAACAATTTATATCTGCTCCATCCTGCTGGGTGAAGCACTTCTATCGGACCCCAACGACCCTTCCGGGGGGTCGTTGGCTGAGCATCGCGGCTCCGCAGAGACGGACCGGCCGCTCGGCGAGTCGGGTGAAGAAGAGGCTCCGCATGAGGCGGTTCCGAGCTCCCCTGGATTTGAAGGGAAACAGACAGCGGCCTGGGCCCAAGGAGACGAGCTGAAGTGGTGCATTTCTGTAAAGGTGGGTCCTGCACACAGGTGGGATTGGTTCATTTTGCTCGGTGGTGGCCAGGGTTTTGGGGGTTGCCATAGGAGTTGAACTGCAGGGGTTGTCGTTTCCCTCCATTTCTCTCCTACTAGGCTTCTAAGATTCTATGTGTTCTTGTTCTTGTGGCTAGGTTCTAGTGGGCCCCCTCTTGACACCAGGCAACATCACCATCTATGATGTGAAGAAGTATGGCACTGCGCCTCGTTTGAGACTGGGCGATGCCGTTCGGGCGCTGTGCCTCGTTCGGTGGTTTCTAGGTGTGAAACGAATCCGAAGGATTAAAAATAGACCATTGTCCCTCTTTAAGACCAGATACTTAGGTGCTCATGAGGCATGGACGCATGTGGAAGCTTTGAAGTGATCCTCTTTGTTGGCTGAAGGGTATGGCAAAGGTCAATGGGTCAACACAGATTCAGCAGACCTGTACCGATCCGAGATTCTAGGTGTATCGATACCAACTAATTGTGGAATCACATTTATTTCACCAAACATCTAATGACATTGATGCATTTCATTACATTTTCCATCATTTTCCCAAAACTCTGGGTCTCTGATTCAAGTGCATTGTATTCACATGAATACTTCCAGATCTTTTTTTTTCCTCCTTTGGATGTGCCTCGGACGCCTAGGACGATGCTTTCAGTCGTGAAACCGGCCCGCAGGCTTACGGTTTCGGCCCTGAGTTTGGACCCCAAAGAAAGACCTCTCATGGTCCGAAGTCTCTCCATGTGGCGCCTCCTCCGCTCGGGTGCTTTCTTGGGCGCGCTGGTCTGCTCCGAAGGGCGTGCGGAAGGTCCCGCGACGACCGCGACGACCGCGACGGTCGGAGAGGAAGGTCCATGGGAAGACGAGTGCTTGGATGCTCAATGCGCGGTGAAGATGCTGCAACTTCATGCTGCAGCGAGTGAGCAAGAATTGGAGGCCGGACTGAGAGTCAGGCTTAGGTCGGACCTGCTTGTTGAACGGAGGTTTGGCTTTGGGGACTTAGCTTGGACATGTCTTGCCGGCCTCATCTTCTTAGGTTGAAGAAAAGGATGTTCGCATTAGCAGCATTATGCAGCATGTTAACCCACAGGGAACTTTGAAGGAAACGTCTTAGCTGCTACGTGAAACATGTTGCCACCGCACTTCAGGCAAAAAGATGGTGGCATTCCTGGTGGACCCACTTCTCCAAGACAAGTTCTATTAAGCTCAAACCACTTGGCCTCTCACAATCCACAGGTCATTCTCACCCGAGATCCAAGCCTGATCGAGGGATGATTGGGGCCACTGCTCGTGGTGTTCTTCTTGCATCCCCTAACCATCAAACTGGAGGGTCCAGTCAACCCTGCACTGCTAGTTGCACTCAAGAGCTTCACCATCGGTCTTAGATTCGTAGGGTAGTGTGTGTGTATTTGTAATGTTGAAACGCAAGGGCTACTGGTCAAGCTTTGAGCAACTTGGTGCTTGGATTCTTAGAGTTATGAATCACTCAGAGTGACTCACTGACAGCTGGACCCTGCAGAGCCTGGAGGTGTTGAATGGCACTAGCTGTCGAAACTTCATTCTTACCGGTCTCTTGGAGAAGCGTTCGGAAAAAGGTGGGATGTCCTTCTTAGCTATGACCGCAAGGTCAAGCTTTAATGTATGATATGGATGGAACGGCAGGGTGTGCTTTTCCATTCAACATGAAAGTGGAGAAAACTAGACAGAGTACATAGATGGCTTGATTTCACATGGGACTCTGATTGCAGCATGTGTTTCTCGGATTGCTTCGAGTTTGCAACGTTTTTCGTTCACCCGGCACAGTCTCAGGGAATGCCATGTTAGTTGTCAGGCCAGGGCCCTGCAACCCCAAACACCAAAAAGGATCAGGTGACGCAGCTACAGTGAGGTTTGAACTTTAAAGAACTATGATCAAAAGCTGACTGTGCATCCCATTCGCAGTGCAGGGTAGAAAACATGGACAGCTCGCCCCGGATCTGACTGAGGTAAGGTGCAAATGGTCCACTACCGGAACTGGGCGGTCGGACGTGCAAAGGCTCACAACGTCAGGGGCTGGGTCGCCAATGGAGGAGACAAAAGTCCCTCGTCCGATCGCGGAGCAAATAGCACGGGCTTTGGTTGGAATTCTTTTTTGCCAGAGAGTTTTTTTTTGTGTTTGTGGTGTTTAATTACTTTTAGAGTCTAGCCTACTGCCTACTTGAACTTACCTTCTTTTCCTTTGCGGAACAACCACCCTGTGTCCGTGCCCCTTATTGTCAATGTCATCCTGCGGCGTGCTGACTTTGTTAGCCGGTTCAAGGAACGTTGGACTTCAACGTTCCATTACTAGCACCACCTCTTGACTATACCAAACCTCCTGTGAGGCGATTCACCGGAATTCTCATTCTCATTCCTTCTCCATGTTCCACCCATGAACCTTACTCCAGTGAGGTTATGATGGTTCTCATTCTCCATGTCCCACCTGCGGCTGTGTCTTGGGCCACGTCGAGGGTTCAGCGGACGCTGTTGGAGCCTTCGTGAGAGAGATGTGTCGAGGAGGGCCACCGCACTCCCATGCAACTGGGAGATTTTGAAAATCATTGCTTTGTGCGTGTTTCTTCTTTTACTTTCACGTGTTTCCTTGGAACTGTTGAATCTTTTGGAGGGCGAGGCACATTGCCTCGGGATCACTCTGGGATCATGATCATCTGAGCTTCTCCAAGGGATTCCAGTTGATCTCAATCCGAATTAATGCCCTTTGATGCCACCCAGGTGGCCTCATGCAAAGTTGAAGAGGCCAGCTGCTTCGGATGTGGCCCCTTCTACAAGGAGTACCACTTTTGCAAAACCTGGACGGTCTCGCACTGCAAAAGTCGATGTTGATGCCTGCGCGGCCACATGCTGCCTGAGCGGCAATGATGTGACCCACATCGGAATAAATGATAACATTCGACTAAACTGAATGATTCATGGCGCAAGAAACCACCAGAAAATATGTTATTATATTATATAGATCATTGTTGGCACATGAAATGGTTTTCTGGTTGCCGTGACCAGCAGAGGTTTCTCTCGACATCGATGGAAAAGATGTGCCAGGGACAGGCGGTCACGGGCATGGGCAGCTTTCCATGCTCCGCTGGGCCCAGTGGGTACAAGTGAACATGGAGGTGGTGCAAAAACCTAGTGACCCGCTACAGTTGGTCCACATTTTTGTTTCCCTTTTACAGGCGGGTTTGGATGATGCGGGTTTCTCCGTTTCTGAATGGTGTGGCCATATCTTGAGCTTTGGGGAACACTTCCCTAAAGGTTCCAACGACAATGTAGTTAGACTCCCCTGGCACCCACCCCAACCCACCCCAAACACCACACTTGAAATGGAGGCAGAAGAAGGAGCCCGACTCTTGAGCTTTGGAACCTGGTTTGATCTTCGGAGCATTTTGTGGATTCAGCTGAGCCTTTGGTGCCAGGCAACCAGACACACCAAATGCGTGCCTAAAAGCTGAATAGATGAATAGATCGGCGGTGCAGATATAATTAGAGAGAAGTCAATGAAGTCTGAGGCCTCCCTTGGTTTTCTGAGTGTTCCGTTGTTGTTCATCTTATTCTTTGGATCTTTTCTTGGAGAAACTCCAGGAGATGATGAGGTCTTTACGGGGTGCCTCCGTGGTTGCTTCCGCTGGTGACGGACACACACACATCTTTTTGGTAGAACGACTCCAGGCATCCTGTTCTATGGGAACATGACATGACTCACTCGCAAGAGCATGTAAAGAGCATGTGTCTCTTTCCATGATGCAGCCAGATTCCCCATGTCAATCCTAGATGTCAACGCCTCAAACTGGTGCTGGGATCTCACGGTCCTGCGAGTCACGACTGAGGATTCACGGTCTCCGAGTCGTGCCACGAGTTGTTGCCTGATGTTTAAGCGGTTTTTTAGGCGGTTAAAGCTGAACTCTTGGACCCAGTCAAAGATCATTCTGTTCTTTGTGCATAGGTCAAGTCGAGCCCTGACCCGCCATTTTGTTTCTTTCTGCGAGTACTTGTACCGCCGGTGGGTCAACCAAGGTATTGACCCACAACCATGATCGTTGTATGATCTATGGCTCTGTCCCAAATACGTTTGGTGTGGCACTCTCAGCTCAGGTGCTCAGCGACTGCATGAGGTTCCGATCTTGAGAACCTGTACAGGATGCCGAAGAAATCCATGTGGACATCCAATCACTGCAAGGGTCGGTCTAAAGGTTGTCATAATGTTTTGATGATGCTTGGTTCCTATGAAACATAATCAATCATCACCTTTTGCAGTGATTTGGATCTATACCCAATGTAGCAGCCTTGCATTGGCGGCTTTCCCATGATGAGCCAAACTGTTTCAACAGCCAATTGACATTTGCAGTGGCACTGCCCTTTCATTCATTGGTCAAGATCGTGTATTTCATAATGCAACAATAGTGACATCACTCTGGCAGGAGGCAACCGGGGCATGCTTCGGGGCATGTTCAGGACAACTGCAGCGGAACAACACATAGATCATAGTAATATTATTGTCATTTATTGTGTATTATAAGCTTTGCGCTTTTAAGTAACTACAATTCACACACACTTTGCACAGCATGCTTGCAATCAGAATGGCTACGTCAATTGCATGTTTCCGTGGGCCATAGTTCTAAATCAAGCAGAAGGGGGCAGGAGCGACCTGCCTCCATGTGGCTGCACTGTTTTTCATTGGAATCACACCGATTTGGTTTCTCCATCGCGATTCTGCTCACCATCTGGGCGATGGTGTTTTTCTCTCGTGAAATCCAACGAGACGAGCCTTGTGGCGAGCCTTGCGTGAAATGGACTTGTGTGGCAAGAGATTGAAGAGATTCGGTGAGTGCGTGGATTCCAAAGTGCTAATCCTTTTTTAGCAGGCTACAGGGGACAGGTCATTGTGACAAGGATCTGAAGATGGGATCTAAATATATCTATAAATACAACTTTACAACTTGGTAACTTCGCAGCCTGCCAGAGGCCTACAGCCTCGCGCCCCACCTCGCGGCCCGCCTCACGGCCCGCCAGCGGCGTCCCACGCGACGCACACTCCCGCGACGCCTCGCGGGACGCGTCGCGCGCGTCGCGGCGCCCGGGGCGCGCGGCAGCGGAGAGACGGCACCCGCTGGCGCGGTGTCTGAGCCGCCCGCGGCCAAGCTCTGTCTGGGGAGCCTGGAGGGTCGAAAAGGAGGCTGGTGGGAGATGGTGGCAGAGGGGATGTCTCCATCCTCATTCATTGCATGATGTGGGACTGAGAACTTGAGAATATTACTTGAAGGGAGATATGATTCTTTGAGGAGAACCCAAAGAATTGCATGTTCACTCATACAGCTACTGCGACTCTTTTGAGTCCCACACGCCAAAAAACACATGCTATGATGCCGAAGTTACGCACTTACAAGGTCGTGTTACGAACACGGAGGAGATCAACGAAAACTCTCCGATGGCCGCCTCGCCCATCCATCTGAAATCCATCCGGTCCTCCGGTCCTCTGAGTCCTCCGGTCTCTGCCGCTGTTCGCCCCCAGGCCGCACCTTCCAAGGCCGTCTTTGACGCCGCGGCGCTCCGCGAGGCGTGAAGATCCCCACAGGAACCGGTGCGTGTGAACAAGAGCATGGAAGCTTCTTAACTGGTGATTGATTGGGAGCAGTTCGTGAAAACACGAACGTGAAGCGGGTGGAAAAGGAAAGGCTAAAGGAAGGCCTTCTATATGGTGACGTATATACTTTTTAGATGGTCTTCCAACATGTCCAGCGTTTTCGACCCTTTGGTCGACCGTTTTTTCATCGTCACCTGTCTGCAGGCGGCGCAACGACGTCTGCAACGCTTGGCCGAACGCATCGACGCCCACGGAGCCAGCCCTTCCGGTGGAGCGTCGCCGACGGAGGTGGGGTGTGTGCGCCGTTCAGTGTGGGTAGACCTTCGAGGTCAGGGTGGACCGTTGTGAACATGGTGTAGCAAGCAAGATATTAAATGCCTAGCTGCAGCAAGGGACTGCACGAAACCCCTGGCACTTGGCTCCAGGAATGCAGGAGCTGCGCTGGGCTTGAGCGACCTGTTCTAAAGTTGTAGAACCACACCCAAAGGAGAAACAACGCCACCCTCTTTGTAGTCGGGTGATGTGTGCGACACTTTGAGTTTTGGAGCAAGGATGGATGGTCCAATCACCGATTTATAGAGTGGTGCAACAGGTCATCCTTATAAAGATTATAAAGGTGTGCCGGTTTTGGGAGGGAGTGAGCAAACCGCAGGTGGCAAAAGGTGGGGGAGTTTTTTGAGTGTGGTGTTTTTGCTGCGGCGGGATGGATCCAATATTTCACCCTATAGTCTTTCAAGGATCCCTGAGATCCCAGAGTTGTATGAGCAATGCCTCAGGTATTGGGAGTTAAAGTGGTCCGACGATGGCCACCAACCTACTAGCAACTGATAGGTATTTCTATTCCATGCTTTTCCGGTTGGGAGATGCATGAGCTGGAGGTTCTTTAGGGCGTTTTGATGGTGAGATTGCTGACACCATGGTTGGCTGATACAAGTGGCTGACTTGGAGGATGGCTTTGGACTAAGCCAGGAAGAGCATTTTGCGCTCAAAGGGTTACATAGAAAGAGATATGAAGAGGAGCTTCGAACATCTAAAGGATTTTTGCAATGCTTGTTTTGGTACACTGGATTCTCTCACCCCACCCAGAAGCCGACTGCGGAAGGGTGGGCTCCCGGCGTTTCCACACCCGGTGGAGTCTCCAGTGCTGTAGAGTCTACAGCGATATTCTACAAACAATTATATATATAAAAATATATATATTTTTACTGTTCATGATCTACTTGTTTCTGCAATCGCCCTGGCAGATTTCCCAGACCAGTTTCCAGAATTGCGTGGCCGTGGACCGACGATGAAGATTGGGTGATCACCAAACTCCATGTCCCAACCCATCACCATCTCATTTTTTGGCTGGCAAGAGACCTCATACTTCACAATCTCTGATCCCTTTTCTTCTAAGATCTGTGCAAGAATGGTTCAGCTGATTGGCAGCAGAACTTTGTTCTGTTGTCTATCTAGGAAACCGTAGTTGTGGTGAAAACATGCAAACACAATGTGCTTAGAATCATGACGGGATGTGCAATGCTCCATCCTTGGCAGGTGCGTAAAGAGTTGGTAGATGCTTTGCTCCATCTTCGCGTCAGCGCCCCATGTGGCAATGGGAGACAGCTGGAGGATGGCACGGCGGACCATTTGCAGTGGACGATTCAATCAGATGAATATACCATGATTGGGGTGTATGATGGTGTATGTGTTACTTTTTTCCAAGATTTTTTTGTGGCCACAGCCAACAAATCGACAGAACCATTTACTGGAGCATGCAAGTTCTTCTCAGCGGCCCCATCCATCCGTCCGTCTTCGTCCCACCGTCGAGTTCGATTTTCGGCGACCGGAAGGACCCAAACCGTCGACCCGGTGATGCCATGGTGGTTTTGGGGTCCACCATGTGTTTTGACTGAATATGCCACCTAGAAATATGCGCACCTAGACATATGCGAAATGTCACATAGATATTGCTTGCAACCCAAACTCGGAGATGCTACCCATTGCTTGCATGAAACGTCAACTTCCCACAGTCATTAAAAGAACGTTCATCACTTCCCACAGTCATGACAACAAACCACCTGTGATTCTGCAGGTCTTTTCAGGTCAGGTTGTGGTTGTTGTGGTTGTTGTGGTTGTTGTGGTTGTTGTGGTTGTGGTGGTTGTGGTGGTTGTGGTGGTTGTGGTGGTTGTGGTGGTTGTAGTGGTTGTGGTGGTTGTGGTTGTGGTGGTGGTGGTGGTGGTTGTGGTTGTGGTTGCGGTTGCGGTTGCGGTTGCGGTTGGTGTTGTTGTTGTTGTTTCTCTTGAATTGCAGAGAGACCTGTTGGAGAATAGTTTTTGACGGGTCGTTGGTCATAGTATGTCCTTCCTTGTGTAATCCTCCCGACTCGTCACCGTCTGGGTCGTCCAAGTCCTTTGGCTCGGAGCGTTGAGGCGGTGTCCCTGGAACTGGTGGAGGCCTTCGAGCGTTGGCGCATCAGCGGGAGCCGCGGAGGTTCGGGGCCCTCAGGGAGGGAGGTTTGCTGGAAAGGTTGGAAGGGATATCCGTTGGGGCTCTTGGCTTAAATCTCTAAGTGGTTTACAAAGGGATTGGCCAAAAACAGCCGGGATTTGAGCCAAGATTTCTGAAGGTATATTATACGGTATATTGCTTTGGGATTCAAAAGAAAAGAAGGTGAGTGACATCGCAGGGCCCAAATAGGAGAAGGACCGTGCGCGGTCGAATTGGTCACGGATGGGGGAAGTCTGATTTTGTTCCGGCAAGGACGCTGCTAGGGGCTTCTGGCCTTACTACTAGGAGCATGGACGCTACTAGGGGCTCCTGGCATCGCTACTAGGAGCAAGGATGCTACTAGGGGCTCTTCCACTTGACGAAATGCCTCGGGGCTCATTTTTCTGGGATTCTCTCAGACAGCATCATCACCTTGTCGTATGAAAGAGATGCCATCATGGTCCCAGAGTCAGTGCTCTATATCTATCTATTTACTTATTTATCTATTTATCTCCACATGTGGGGTGGTTTCCAAGTCGTTTAAGATTTTGTGTTCTGGGCGATGTGTTTGCGTGCAGCGTGAGAAGATGCATGCTTATTTGAAAGATGTCTTTATACCTTGTTTGTTTGAGAAATTAGATGACTCACTAGGCTTCCAATCTTCTTTTCCGTAGCTTTACTTGGACCATGTCTTCCAAATTCCGACGGTGCCTCAAAGAATAAGACCAAGGCACCTTGACGGTCCTCACCACAACGGTGGGGCCTTTGAATGGCACCCAATTTTTTGAGCCCATATGGCATAACCTGTACTCATACTCAGACCATCCACACCCCGATGTAGGCCAATATTCCATGCATGGAGTGTTGGGGATATGGACCATATGGGAATCTATGGTGACCTTCTGAAGCCGCCCGACCTTCACATTCCGACCCAACCGAAAAGACGGTGGAAGACCCCACCGGTTTGAGGCACCGCGGTCGGACGGGTCTGGTCGGGTCTGCCGCGGTCTCCGACCATCGGCTGGTTTGGTTCCGACCGGTGAAGGCCGCGAGGTCTCATAGTTCGCCCGCACAGAAGGACATGGGCAACATGAAATGGGCTGCTTGTGACGGTTCCTCATCAATCCGCACCCAAAAACCAAGCTGATGATGTGGCCAACAATCACGGCAGTTCCGGTCATGCAAGCTGACAAAAAGGCACGGAGAGCCTGTTGTGCCCAACAATTTACACGCCTACTCACACTTGCATCAAAGAGATAAATGCCCTAACTCCACATTATCTCATACCCAAACCTGTCAATTATATATATAACCACTCGTATCCCCACTGGCTCTCATTCTTCTCCTATCTATTTTGATTCGTTTCTCCTTTCCAAATCGTGGCCCATTCAACAACACACTAAAGGGGAGATGAGTTGCGAAGACTGGTGCAGAACGTGCGAGTTTTCGATGACCCTCTCCTTTTACATCTTTGCATCTATCCTCCAACCCTACCACAACTTGGAGATTCATCAGCAAAAAAGACACAACAAACAAACCTCAGGGCAGCACACACTTTTTGATGCATGCTTCTTTTACACACCAGTATTTAGTGAGTCTTACAGTATAGGAAGGTGCTGGCTTCTCTCCAAGTCCTCAGAAAAAGTCAAAACAACAACAAAACACACATTTACAGCCATTGAACCATTGAACTGGATCCCCACCGCGCCAACCGCCATGGCCAACAGTTTGCCCAGCGGCGCCCTGCGGCCACCTGTAGCCATTGGCCCGCTCTTGGACGACGAGCCGGACGGTCGTGCTCTCGTCGTGGTCAGGGTGTTAGTTTTTCTCCAAACTGGGATGGCCCTTCCTCCCTTGGAAATGACATCCCTTGGATTTTGTTTGGACATTTTGGGGATGTGTTGATGAAATCCCTTTTGGACATTCACCGGATTTCTTCCAACATGACCTGCCGTCTCCCAGGTTCCACTTTCGGTGGGAACTGACTATGGGGCGCCTTCTTTTGGTTCGTGCTAAGTGGACTGATCGACTCGCCCAATGAGCTCAATCGGACCCGATCAAACGAAGGCCACGCTGCCGGTTCGGCGAATGACTGGTCTGATGTCTGACATGACCAGTGGGGCCATGTCGCAACGGTAGCTGGTGAATTCTTTTCTATTTAGGTTACCTTTTTTTGTGTGTTTAAAACAAACAGCGAAGCTTGTTTGACACCTCCCATATACAAGGCTACCAATTTGTTGTTTGTTTGGTATGTGCATGTAAGTGACATCTCCACTAATTGGCCTCATTGATGCCACTCACGTCCAAGCGTCGCTGGTCATTCCTTGCGTCAGATCCTCTTGGACAGGCACCGGGCAGCGCTTCCATGGACCTGGTTTTGCTTAAGGTGATTGTTCATTGTCTCTGAGGAAATCCTCTTCTGGAGATTTCTGGTGAGTATGTTTTTCATTTGTCTTATTTTTTAGGTTCTTGGAGAGCAAATTGTCCAAGTAGACCCACCATCCAAAGAATACAAACATGAATGCATGGCACGGCGGTCCTCACCCCATGAATGCATGGCACGGTACTTGAGGGCCCAAGACTGGAGGATTGGGTTGACTGACGGGATGCAAGGAGGTGTCCTGCAGACAGTGTGTGCCCGAGTGTGGGACTACCTTTTAAGCTTCGCTGACATCTTGAACTCCATGCACTCATGTTGCTGGCTTGCATTGGATGAGCTCCTGGTCAGGAGCTGTATCACTTTTCGCCCAAGAAGAGCTTCTTTAGTGGTGGCTCTACTGAGTGGGGCGTCCGTACGGCTTGGAGTCTGGGATTTGGATGAGAGGACTCTCTATTCTAGGCTTTGTCTGGACAATATTTACAGTCTTGAGAGTAGAGTGGATGTCCACCACATGTCAGCTACAAACATGCTCTTACAGGCTAAGACTTGATGGATGCTATTTGCATATTGTGCCTTGCACATGTTTGAAAGCTGCCTGTGTTTATTATTTGTGAGCCAATCATGTACTGTATAGTTGAAGAGTGGACAGCTTTATTGACAAGGAATACTTTTGCAGGATACCATGGACAATCCTAGAACGTCGCCATCCCTTTTTAAGGAATGGTGAGCTAGCTGCATGAGGTGAGGTGAGCTAGCTATCTCCCTGACATGTTCATGCCGGGGATTATACTTGTCGTTTGCGCATGGTCCATATGGAATTATCTACCAGCACCCCCAGTCGGGGTGGTTAATGGACACCCCGAATCACAGCTAAGGGGCTATAAATAGACACCCCTTGGAGTGTCCTGGTATAGTCCTTTTATTCTATGTACTGTATCTCTTTTTCAACCAGGCTGAATAACGGACGATTTGAGACTAGTAGCAGCACACTGCTCAGGTGAAACAACTCAAGTTCAGGTGGGGTTGTATTGATTCCGTGTCTTCTCGAGCTTTACTTAGCTAAATCATATAAGATTTTGATATGTCATCAGCCCGACCATGCGGTAAGTTTTATAGATATCCACCGCCACAGCTAATAGGGATTACACATGTGAGGCGGGCATCAACATCCCGAATAAATCAAGGATTGAATCTCAACCAAAGGGCCATTTCTGCATGGGCAGCAATTGAGCCAGCAATCGAACCCTGCTGGCATCTATTCCCTCCTTAACATACACCGATTCTGATGCTCCGCTGCTCCGCATTGTAGAGTGTAGAGGTATTCCCTGGCACGATTTCTCAGCTGAAACTCTTCATCCAAACACAAGTGTGAACCACAACAAGGTAGTCTCTGGAGGGAAGATCAAAGTGGTGTGGCATTTGAAAATGACCTGGAACTGATCTTTCGAGACGGAGTTTCAGGACGAAGCACAGCGAAGCAATGATCACTGTGAAATCCCCATTCTCGAAGAAACACACAGTAATTATGCTCATAAGAAATCTCATGCGCCACACATGCGCCACACATACGCCACGCATGTACCTCAGGCAGAGGTGCAGGCACTATATGGTTCCCGGGTCCAAAACTATCCCTAAAGGGCGGTGGAACTTGGTTTCAGAGGTACCAGTTAATTACCCCAAGTTGGGTGGTGCAAGCAGTCATGGACCCCCAAAGACAGTGCCATCTACTCTGAAACCACTATAGTTCAGGGAAAAAAAGGGCCATTCACCTTCAAAAAAGGGCCATTCACCTTCCCACATCCCCGCTCCACCAAGCTGTTCAGGTGGCTGGAGCTTTCCGCCTGTGCAGCCGGAGGAGGAGGAGTCGGAAGGCGCGCCGCTTTGCGGAGTCGGATTCGGCGACCCGGAGTGAAGAGACGAGAGTCGATTCGCCAGTCAGGGACGACCCGGAGTGATACGACGACGGCTGATGATTTTGGAGTGTTGGAGAATGAAAGAGGATGGCAGGATGCTCACCCTTCAGGCCCTTAAGGGTTAGTTTTGCTGGTCACGAATCAATCAGAAATCCAAAACCTTAGGCCAAATATCATGGAAACAGATCAATAGGGACAATATCATATCCTCCTAGGAGCTATATAGTTCAGGTGAAAGATGGAATAGATCAGAAGGCACATAGGAAAACTGCCATAAGAGACTTGTTTGCTTTGGACAGGTTTCATATTCTATCTACTTGAGGCCTGGGAGACGACCCAGTCTAATTTTCCCACTTAAAAGTCCCAGGCCTTCTGGATGGACAAAGGTCTGCACCATATACTGGAAGTCCCAGTTCAATCAACCTCGGGAATCTCAGCAGGATGGGAATTTGGGGAGTCTAGTGGGGAGTCTTTCCTTCTCCCATCGCTCCACATGCCGCTTTTCGTTTAGCTTGCCCAGGTGAAAACTGGGAGGAACCAAGAGGTGCCAAGCTTTCTGTTTGCGGCTGCGAGATGAGGTATAGTTGGAAGGCAATGGTTTGTTTTCCCTTCTTGGCCAAAGTGTGCTTACCTTGCTAATTCAGTGCCTTCAGCAAGGTAGCAGTTCTTGGAACGATGAACATCGATGAACGTATTGATGATGGACAACCTGGACCATCCAAGGGGGGCCAGGACACCCAGACAGGATGGGGTATGATCTGTATATATATATATATAATCTAATATAAAAATATATATCTCTGAGAGTTTGTTTGTCCAACTACATGTCCTTGATGCCATCGATAGCCAGTTCCAACTACAATTGTCCAACTATATTTCTGGTATGATCTATAGTCATTTCCTTGGAACAGAAGTTTGATGCAAAGACGGTCCGATGGTCCGACCGGGTCCGGACGAATTGGCCGAACATCGGAATGGCAAGTCGCATCTGAAGAATGGCCGGCTTGGAGCCAAGACGCAGGTCATATATTATGTTACTAATGTTTGACTACTATTTTGAGCAAAGTCATTCAGACCAATTGCTAGAGTACCCTGGGACAATTCCCTTGACTTGTGTGAAGTAGTCAGTCAGATAGAAACGGGGTCCAACACATTTCAGAGGCGGCTCGCGTAGGATGTAAAAGCTCAGGGAAAAGGAAAAGGACTCTGGCCTTCAGAAGGCCGTTCAAACGCTGCTTTGATCATTGAAGTTCGCACATCAATCCGTCAAGACCACCACCTTTGGGAGTCACCAGTTAAATTGCAGAACATGCCAATTCATGAGTTCATGGATTTTGGACATGGGAATCATCGGTGATACAGCACCTTGGCACCTGCCTTTGTCGCACAAACCAGAGACCAAACTGAGGTGTTTTTCGCTCGCACTATACAGAGCCGCTTGCACCAGTTTCAAAGGTGAAAGTTCCTTCGCGGATTGCAATTTTGCGAAGAAGTGGGTAGATGAGTTGGCAGAAACTATATAGTACAGCCAAACAAAGAGACACAGTAGCACAGGAAAACATGGTTCCAATCCACTTTAGCATGATCCCAAACACCAGTTTTTGTTCCAGCTAGTCACGCTGTATAGAAACATCCCTTTTGCATTGGTGTCTCACGGCTGGACAGGGCCAGAGCGGATCTCCTTGAGGGAGCCACAGGTGCGGGTCCTCTGCAACGTTTCGTCGGTGCGGTGTCCTCCGACGTGGCCGGATCGTGACCCAGCAAGCGAAGGTGAAACCCAGCAGTCGGGAGCAAGTGAAGCATAGCTATATGATGATCCCAGCTTTGACCGCACTGCTAGTCATTACGCAGGCCTTGGCTGCCTTGGCTTCCTTAGCTTTGAGATATTGTATAGGATGTGATGTGTGATATGGTAATCCCCAAAGAGATCATTTCAATGCGTTCAAGCCTGTTTTAGAGGCACCCCTCGATTCTTGTATATTACATTAAATTGTTTTTTGGGGTTACCATCTATAGCAGATCCACAGTCGCTGCCACAACATGCGGTGATGGCAAACACTTCCTTGTGGATTCGGTTCCTGTCTGGCACTGTGGCTGAACTTGATGTGGAGGAGCTGCGTCCACTCAACGAAAGCAACAGACCTGTCAGGGCATTGAAAAAGCGCTTGGCACATCGGACTGGCATTTCATGGTTTCGGCAGAGGCTCTATTTCAGCCAAGAGCTTTGCGAGTTGGAGGAGACTGAAACTTTGACAGTGCCAATGGACCTAAAGCTGGCGATCCTGAATTTTCAATCTGCGGACAAAGCCGGGCAAGAAGCACTCCTTTGGGCATGTGTTCTTGGGAGGTTGAATGAAGTTGAAGCAGCGCTACTCTCTCCACAAGATCCCAACATTGAAGATGTACATGAAGGAAAAAGTTTGCATGTGGCACCTCAGAACGGCCACTTGGAGATTGTGCGATTGCTGCTGGAGGCCCACGCTGATAAGGATGTGGTGACACAGTATGGTGACACTGCTTTGCATTTGGCAGCTCACAACGGCAACTTGGAGATTGTGCAATTGCTGCTGGAGGCCCACGCGGGCTGGTAACACTGCCTTGCATTTGACAGCTCAGAGCGGCAACTTGGAGATTGTGCGATTGCTGCTGGAGGCCCA